TAAAAGCCCATTAGCACTGTCGAAAGACACGTGTCAGCAGTCAACTGTGAAGGAAAAATAATAGAACCATCTTTGACATTCTTTCCTCTGATCCCGTTTTCCTTCTTAAAACCATCAAACAAACATCTCTTCCTTCAATTTATTAATCTTCTTCCCGAAATATTAATTCGAAATCTCAGTAATCGCTTTTGATGGAGATCGTTCCATCTTCAAGTAGATTCAAACTCTACGATCAACTCCAGCTTCTCGAGTTTCCCGATAAGTACGTCCTCAAACCCGTGGATTCGCCGCCTCATCATGGCTTCTCCGTTGATCGCCGCGACGGCAACATCAAACCTCTCGACGGTAATCGCTGTGTCCTATTTAATGTTTTGGTTTCAAGAAACTAGCTATTAGCATGATTTCATTTCTGTTTAGGATGTTGTGTGTGTTTTGATGTTACTGATTCCTGTCTTAATGCAGACAACACTAGTTCTGGTAATGCCACCAAGGTCTCTACTGTCTTTGGCGTTGGAGGAACTATTAGGCTCTTAGCAGGTGAAAAATAATCTCAAAGTTTCAACCTTTCTATATTTGTATTTTGGTTTCTTCTCGTATGGAACCTTCACTGAGAGTTTCATGGTGTTTAGGAACGTATTTGCTCGTTATTACATCTCGGGTGGAAGCTGGGACTTACCTCGGTTTCCCTATTTTTCGAGTTACGTCTATGAAGTTCCTACCTTGCAATGGGAATTTGAGGTTTGCTACTGCTCAAGAAGTGAGTTTCTTTTTTTGTTGTGTAAAGTTACTATTTTTGGAGATTTTTAAAGTTGTCTAGAAAACTTTTTCTCACTACTTTGAAATGATGGGTTGTGAAGAAAAAGGACGAAGCGTATTTCAGGACTCTGTTACAGGCCCTTGAGACTACACCAGGGTTGTATTTTTCATATGAGACAGATCTTACAGTCAAGTAAGTTTCACCCTTTGATCCCTTGTATAAGTAGAATCCTAGACTTAAGAATATATGTTTACTACATTCATCCAATGTTACAGCTTGCAAAGAAGGAGTAAGCTGGCTGTAGGTTGGACGAGTAAGCCCCTGTGGAAGCAGGTTGGTTGTTCATCTGATCCTTGTGCAACTTTTATTTTTTTCTATTTCTATATTCTTTTCTAATGTTAGTTGGTAGGCTGAAGGTTAACTTGCGTGTCAGGCTGACCCTCGGTATGTTTGGAACTGGCATCTTTTGGAGGAACTGATTGAATGCAAAGTAAGTTTCCTCATTCTAATTTTAATATTCTCATTCCATCTCAAGCTTCACAAATCTAAGATTCTCTTTTTTGATGGTAGCTGGATGGTTTTATCACCCCTCTGCTTCAAGGAAATATCCTTTCATTATCTTCTGTTTCGTTTCTTCGTGGACTGTTTGTATATTTATATATGTAGTGTTGTGGCTTTCAACGTGTTTGTTTAAAAATTAACCAACGGTTACGCTACCAAGTTGCTGAGCTCAAGCTCAAGAACTCTCCTTTGGTGATATCGTTAATTTCGAGGCGCTGTATACGTCGTCTAGGTGTGTTTTGGTTTGTGACTAGTGCTGTTGGAAAAATTCAGTTAAATGCCTGTTTGATAATCATGTTGGAAGTTGGCATTCTAGGTACACGTATGTGGAGAAGAGGAGCCAATCTTGAGGGAGACACTGCTAATTTTGTGGAATCGGAACAAATAGTGGAGGTTAATGGTTTCAAGTTCTCTCTATTGCAGGTATACCCTTTTTCAGAGCTCATTCATGTGTTGTGTACTGTTAAAATGATCTTTTCTTGTTACTGTACTGGGTGCATTATCTTTGGAATTACAATTCAGTGTTGCAATAGAAAATGCTCATTTCAGCAGAATGGTTACTGTTTCAAGGTTTTGGATATGCTTGAAATTCACTGTTTCATTATTTATAGAAGCCACCTTGCTTTTTCTTTTTCCCTGTTTAAAGGTTTCCTTTCATTTCTTGTGGATTGTAGTAACCGTCTTGCTTTCACTTGCTAGGTTCGAGGTTCAATTCCACTTCTTTGGGAGCAAATCGTTGATTTGAGCTATAAGCCACAGCTTAAGATTAATAAGCATGAAGACACGGTAATTTCTTATGATCATGTTACATATTTTTCATTCACTGTCCATCCCCCAACCTTGATTAGTTATTTTCTGCCTCCAGCCAAAGGTCGTGCAACGCCACTTCCACGATCTTAGCCAAAGATATGGAGAAATTATGGCAGTTAACTTAACAGATCAGGTAACATAAGTACATGGCATAACACACAATGCATTCTGAAATCTATGACATCTTAGCTTCAGTTATTTTGTGGTTTGCCGCTGCGCCATATTCACTTGCTTACTTTCCTTGTCTAAGTAACTTAGTCTCTCTCATTTTCCTACAATAGCATGGAGCTGAAGGTGAATTAGGCAAAGCATACGCCACCGAAATGGCGAGGCTTCCAAACGTAAGGTAAAATTCTTTCTGCGGATTGACACATTCACCTTTTATCCTTCGTGATTTATCATTATCCCAGAGCAAACACTGCCTGACCCTTCTTATCCATTTTTTCGTTTCTTTGGATGTCTTTCACCTTCTATATATTCAATCTGTTCTTTGATCGTACACATCAAGTTGATTTAGTGGTATTACTAGTTAATGAGGTTCTTTTGACACAGATATGTCTCCTTTGACTTCCATCACATCTGTGGAACTACAAACTTCGACAACTTGGGGGTACTTTATGAACAGATTGGGGATGAATTTGAAAAACAAGGGTAAGCAAATAAATTATTCTTTTGGTTCTTCTCGTTTCAGATCTAGACGCTGAGTTAATATGCATAGCAGTAAGATATTTGTTTGGTTCAAGTCAAGATAACTGCTAGCTGTGTGCAAAAAAGTTTTTGTCTCAGCTGCTACTAATCCAAGCTGAGCAGATATTTCCTTGTAGACGCAGAAGGGAACATCCTAGAAGAGCAGAAAGGAATTATTAGATCTAACTGCATCGACTGTCTTGACCGCACAAATGTTACCCAGGTTTGTTGAGTTAATTTCTTACTCTTTTTCATTACCACCAGCTATCTTGAATGGTGCAGTATGTTTTAGATAAACTCATGGCTGATACGGGTGGGGGTCTGTAAAGATGTGTTGGTCAAGCCTCCTTTTGTGCCATCTGAGCTTTTCACCTGAATACTAATTTATTGGTTGAAAACCACTTGCATATTTAACTTCATGTAATATAATCTATGGTTGCTAAAAATGACTTGCTGTAAAGTCATTCAAGCTTTTTTAAAACTCGTACTTAAGATGTAAACATTATCACTGAACTGCTTCTGATTGCATTCAAAAACGTTTTTGTTGCAACATGAAAAGAATTACATGGCCCAAAAATCTCTGAATCTACAACTTAAAAGAATCGGAGTGCTTGATTCCACAGAGTGTGTATCCATGTTCGAAGATGATTACACAAAGTTCAGAACAAGTAAGTGGTTGTCACTTCCAACTTTTTAGTTCAGTCTCCAGTTTGTTAGCTGTTAGCTGTAGTAAATCTTCTGCCTTTCATCAAAAGCTGAATCCTTGTGCTTTTGTGATAGTGTGGGCTGAGCAAGGGGATGAGATTAGCTTGCAGTACGCCGGGACATATGCTCTCAAGGGCGACCTCGTCAGGTGAGAAATGTCCGCCTAAGATCCTCTTAACATGTTAGGATTTATGATTAACAAAGCTGAAAAATGCCGTTATAGTGTGGACATTCATATGATATAACGTGGAAGTTCTTGTTCTTGTGAGAGTGTTAGTGATGATGACCTTTGAGTTTACAGTTAAGTTGTTCTCTTAGCAATGCCTCAACACTGTTAGGATTTTCCACGTTTTTCTCCAAAAACGCTAGACTCCCGCCATAAAACCAACTTGCGTTTCTATGTTGACACCAAATTATTACGTTGGGTGCAGTTTTCTCTGAAATGTTTTATATACTTAATAATATAATGATTTGGGTTTTTTTCTGGTGCAGGTACGGGAAACAAACAGTGTCTGGGGCAATCAAAGATGGCATCAGTGCAATGTCAAGATACTATCTGAATAATTTCCAGGATGGTGTGAGGCAGGCAAGTGTCTTTTACGAGATTAGAGTTGAGGTTTCACATAGAGTAAAAGATGAGAAAAATGGAAGAGACAGTTTCAATTTTGTTTCAGGATGCTTTGGATCTCATAAGTGGTCGCTACACAGTGGGCACAAACAGCCCTTCACAACTCCAGCCTATTGGAGGATCACAACCATCTGTATGTTCCTCTTAAGCACCACACTTACTGTCAAAACAATATGTTAAAATGAAAAGACCGCTGATTGGGTTTCCTTTTTTTTTTTTTGTTTGTTGGGTGAGAATAAACAGTTTCTGCCTGTAGCATCAGCGTTGTTGATAGGTGGTGTAACAGTGACATCTTTCACGATTCATCAAGGTAAAGAATTTTTTTAAAAATTTTATATAATTATGGAGGGTTGAAGTTGTGTGAGTGATATGTGTGATCTGATATAAGCAACAGCGGGAAGGAACACGCAGCAGTATCTGGCGTCGGCTCTGTGGGCAGGAGTAACTGCAGGAGTGGTGGCAGTGATCAAGGCCAATGGAAGGCACTTGTGTTCAAGGCCTCGTCTTTGCCATCTCATTTGATTCCTTTATATATATATATATATATATATATATATATATATATATATATATAAGGGGAGTCTCCCTGTACCAAATTCGTTCTTTTTTCATATCTTCTGTTTTCAGCTTAAAACGTCGTACAAACTTCTAAGAATAATTAAATAAAAAGCCAGTGCTGTGGAAATTTTCTGATTAATTCAAGTGATCATATCTATAGATATCAAACTGTATTGTTTGATATATTCCTCAGTAAACCATCTATGACATACACAGATTCTTTTAAAAGGAAAACAAAACTCAAGTATTGCCAAACACCTGTTCAGTGTTGGCCACCAAAAAAAAAACAATTAACGAAAAGTAATCTTATTATTATTTCAACCTTGAATTCATTAAATGTTTACGAAAGGACTATTCCCACCCCACTAGATGCCATACACAGCACGGTCCCTCCATTATTGCAATACAATGGTTCCATTATGTCCCTTTACACCAATATTATTTGGCGCACTTTGTTCTCCACGTAATGTAACAGCCAACAACAACAACAAACACTGCACAAACCTTATAAACCCTTAAAGACGGCTACGGCCGCGTGAAGCTGGCGGTTTGAAACTCGCAATCCCCGTTACTTCCCTCCCTGTCACTAAGGTGTTTATATCATAAGTCCCTTCGTATGTATAAATGGGTTCCAGGTCACCAAAAGCCTGCAAATGTTTTTCACGTTTTAGCACTTAAACTCACTCTCACTCTGATAAATTTTTCATTATTAGCCAACCAAGTCAGATAAGAAGATTAGCTCACCTTTGCCACCAGAAAATCCCCTACAATTCCATTCCCACCGAGTAATTCTCGTCCTAGCGAAGCAGTTTCCCTTGCCTTTGATGAAATCCATGCCTAGTTGAGCCATACAATTGGGTTATACAAATAATATCATACTGAGCTGTGTTAGATTCCTCCACTTACTCGAGCTAAAAGAATAAGCTTAGTGATTGTATATCAAATACTCGGCAAAGAAGAACTCACCTTTCCTAAACTGGCTTGACCTGGAGTCATTTGACCCGACTCATATAGCTTGCAGAGGCGCCAACCCATCATAAACATCGCTTGAACATTACCAAGTATCTTCACAAGCTTCTGTTGGTTTAACTGGAAAGCAGCCAACGGTGCTCCAAACTGTTTCCTCTCCAGTAGATACCTTCAAACAATACACACATTAAATGGGAATTGCTTTATAAACGATGAAATGAATGCTCTTACTATGGTTACTCCTGAGATCTGGCTGTTTGGTAATACCTGTGACACATATCGTATATTCCCATTGTTATACCAATTGGTTGCCAGGCCACCATTACACGTGAGACAGCTAGGACCTATTCAAGTAAAGTACAGAAAAACAATTAGATATCACGAAGATTTCAGATAATATGTATTCTGCTTATGGTAGAATGTTGAAGAGCATTTCTAGATCATGTGGAGTTTATCAGTTAGCACAACAGTACCTTGCTTGTGTCCTGAAATGAATTTAGCCCAGGTAACCGCTCCTCATCCGGAACAAAGACATTTTGTAGTAAAATGTCTCCATTCTGAACAATACGTAAACCTATTTTGTTCGGGATCTTAGTAACCGTTAGGCCAGGCGCATCTTTCTGAACTAAGAATCTGCAAGACGCTCATCATTTAATCATGCCGAAAATAAAGTCTAATCCAAAATGAATAAGAAGCCACGTATTAGCACATTAGTCTAGTGTGCTATTGATTATGGTCCAATCATAGAGCAACATGATTCAGCATTCTGAAAACTGAATTTTCACATATATCATAACGTTGAAATCAAGAGCTACTTTATCAAATTTCGATTTTGAGAAACGACCTGTACACCTAAGATATAAAATGTAAGGTATCTAAGAAACCCTAGAAACTAACATACCCATTGACTTGGTTTGTTGTAGTATTCCTAGCAAGGATGACCAATAGATCTGCAAAGGTGCTGTTTCCAATCCAACGCTTTTGTCCCTGAAGTACCCAACCTCCTTCAACCTGATGTAGAAGACAATCGAAACAAGTCAAAACAATGAAACATTCTGGCAACCGCGGAAGTAGAGCAGGAGCAGATACAAGCAACTAAAATCAAGGGGACAAAACGGTCAAACCTTTGTGGCAGTTGTTTTTAGAGCGCTTGCATCGCTTCCATTGTCAGGTTCTGTCAAAGCCTTTATACAGAGTTCAATATATGTAATGGTATCAACATCAGGTTTACATAACGCAAAAAGCTTATTCAAGGGATGCAGATCGTCTTAAGTCAAAGATCCACGTACTCACCCAACAAGTCACAGTTTTCATCTGAGCCAAAGAAGGCAAATACTTCTGCTTCTGTGCTTCTGATCCACAAAGTGCTGTTCTTGACCAAAAAAAAAATCATTAAAAATATGCTTATGCAGATAATAGTAACTGAACACTAAAACAAGCTAAGAAAGAAACATTAGGACATCCTACCAATAGTGAGCATTCCCAAAGAGGTATGCACCAAATGAAAAGTTCCACAGCTTGCATCCACTCTAGATATTTCTGCGGTTGCAATTGCGCTAGCTGTGATGGAGAGGCCAGGACAGCCATAACCCTGAGAAGTCAAAGAAGCCAATTTGGAAAAAAAAGAAACTGAAATTGTCCATCCACATAATCCAAGAACAGGCATTGCCAGTTACCTTGATGGAGCCACCAACAACACCCAAAGCCCCAAACTTAGGAATGATATGGAATGGAAACTCTGCCTTCTCCCAGTACTGAGAAGTAAAAAACAAAACAAGGACAGTTATGTTACACAAATGATACTATAAAAAAACACAGAAAAAAAACATCCTGAACATGAAGATGTCTATCTCCATTCACAGCCAAAAGATGTCTATCAACATAAAGAGAAAAAAAGATTCACCTCAGTCATAATGGGAGCAACTTCTTTCTCCATGAACGCCCTCACTCTCTTCCGAACAGCCTGTTCCTCCGGAGTCAATAAATCATCGAAACGATAATAGTCTGAAGCTGTAATCAAATATAGAGAAAAAAAAAACAGCATGAGGCCACAAAATAACAACAAATCATCCAAAAAAACTGTATATAATCTCTTGAAGAGATCCTTACTGCACGGTGGGAACTTAGAGGCTGGTGTTGCTTGAGGAAACGCCACAGATATCTCCATAGGTGGCAAATCAAAATAAGAACTCTTCACCTTCTTCTCAGCACTATCTGCAACACCAAACTCAAAATCTCAAATCCTCAAATCCAAAATTCATTCAACAACTCGTTGATACTTCCTATATACTTTTTGATTCCATAAGTCTCCATAACACATGGCATCATCTAATGAGAAATCTCAAATTCTCAAATTCTCAAATCCAAAACTCATTCAACTACTCGTTGATACTTCCTATATACTTTTGATTTCATATGAAAAATCTCAAATTCTCAAACTCTCAAATCCAAAATTCATTCAACTACTCGTTGTTTATTTCCTATATAACTCCGATTACATAAGTCTCAGCATCATCTACAAATGTAAGCAGTTCGAATTTGAAATCCCTAAATCAAACCAGAACGAAGAGATAATTTGTCGATTTCTCGAGAATTGAAACAAATAGGAGATCAAACCAGCGAGTCAAAGCAGTTGCATCAGAGGAGGAGACATGCAATTATGCAAAAGCAAATGAGAAAGGAGGAAGGAAGGGAGACGAACCTCGATCTGGAGATGATAGCACAGTCATGGCGATATGATCGTGATGGAAAGCTTCTTCTTTGGCTTCGTGTTAGGTACGGAACCCGAGACAATGAGATAGGATAGAAATGTATCTCTATAATATTATTTGAGAACTCTCTTTGTGTCGCGCTCACTAACTCTCATGCTGGTTGATTAATATGATACCCTTAATGAATTAAAAATACAATTAGAAATTATTTTTTTTAAAAAAAATTTCCAAATAACAATATAAATAAAAAGGAAACATTTATAAAATTTACAAAACTATTTAAACACGAAAATATAAATATATATAATATGATTTAATAAAAAAAGGAAAGTTCACAAAATATTAATAATTAATTTAAATATATATTTTAAATAACATAAAATATACCTTTGAAGTAATAAAATACTTTATATCTATATCTTCTTAGATAAAAAAACAATATCTGTATATAATGAGATTTCATAAAAAAAAATTCACACAAAAAATATTGCTATTAGAAAAAGAAATATTTTTTTCCTTAAAAAAATAATTTTAAACAATAAAATATATATATTTTCAAAATAATTATGATTACATAAAATAATCAACTAACATAAACTGATATATGTTTAACTGACATTTTTTATAATTAGTATTATTGAAATTATTTTTTTAGTATATTTATTTGACTATAATATCTTACAATTACAGTAAAAATATAAATTGTATTTTACTTATATAGTATAATTTCTCAAAAACAATCACTTTTTACTGACTATTTTAAGAGATACTAAAAATAAAACTAAAAATAAATTTAATGATAAACATCTTTTGATCAAGTAACTACAATTATTTTAAAATATCATAACACTATATAATTTAACGAGGTAGATATATTATATTTTAATAGTTAAAATTATCTGTTCTAAGAATAAGGATTCTGATTACTTAAGTATTTTGATTATGGTTATATTAAGTTTCACAAACATAAAAACAGAAAATAACTACAGTTATTTTAAAATACCATAACACTATATAATTTAACGAGGTAGATGTATTATATTTTAATAGTTAAAACTATCTGTTTTCTTAATAATCTTTTTATTTTTAATTTTTTGTTTTTATGTTTGTGAAACTTAATATAACCATAGTCAAATACTTAATCAAATCAGAATCCTTATTTTTAAAATTATTTAAAATAAATTTCAGTTTACCATCCAAACAATCTAAAGCATAAATTTATTTAGAATTTATAAAATATGTTAACTATTGTAAATATTGATATGTGTTCAAAAATCTTCTAGAAATTCATTAGTTACTTATGTATGTAATTTAGAATCAGAAACTTTAGTTTTTATTTTTTTTTCCTNGTTTACCATCCAAACAATCTAAAGCATAAATTTATTTAGAATTTATAAAATATGTTAACTATTGTAAATATTGATATGTGTTCAAAAATCTTCTAGAAATTCATTAGTTACTTATGTATGTAATTTAGAATCAGAAACTTTAGTTTTTATTTTTTTTTCCTTCTAAGCACAAAAAAATCTTAAGTTATATATAATCTTATTAAATATACTTATATTTCTAAGATAACAACCAACATAAATGCAAATAAGACAATTAATCAAAAATTTCATATTTTAAAATATCAAAAATAATAGTTGAATTCAGAGAAATAAATAGGATCTAATATATCTAAATGATAACTAAATCGACCGTAAAAACAATAAAACAGACTAAATATAACATATCTAAAATTATATATATAATTAAAGTAATATAATATTATAATATAAATTAGACATACAAACTATAAATTAATTTAAAAATTAAAGTAAATATCAATTAGTTATTATTGTATATTTATTTTATAAATATACATGTCCGTGCATGAATACGGGAAAATCACCTAGTAATATAATATTTAATAGCTCGGAGTCCTGATTCAAGACCCGACCCGGTTAAGTCGAGCATACTGTTTAACGTACTATAAACTATTTCCTTTTTGAGCTATTTTATCTGTTATTTTGGGGGAGAAAATATGTTTTTTTACAGAAATGTTTTTGAGAAAATATATTTTATAAAAATGTTTTCTGAGAAAATATTTTTTATGTTTCTTTTTCGTAGAACTTATCAACTACTCATGGTTTCTATTCAAAACTATCTAACCACGCGTCTGTGGTCAGATGGTCAAAGCGTTATGTGGATCTCTAAAACGATCCGAGTTCGAATCCATACTATACCAGATTTTCACAATACGGTTCTACCAGAACTTTCACATTTTTTCTGGGGAATGGTTTACCTTTTTCTTTTTCTATTCAAAATTAGAAATATATTTCTTTAGAATAATATTTCACAAAAGCAGAACTTTTTTGGAGGGGTGTTTAGTGTATTTTGTGTTAAGATTATATATCTTTTTCTCAAAATTACAAACCACTTGCAATGAAAAAATAAAAATACTTTCTATAGACGTTACCTACTATACAGTTTTTCGTTTGTTTATTTTTTTTGGTAATCAGTTGTTCGTTTGTTGCTAAAGTTGTAGACGTTACGTAGGGGGCCCGTCTACTTATGAACAATAAGGCGACAGATAATGAGATGTTTAGATTTTTTAGCTACGAATGGTCGACAAATTGTGTCGTTAACGTTTCATCAACGACAGGAGTGAACATGCATTGTTGCTATTCCTTTGTCGTTATCGATCGCATGAGATGACTATTACTATCGAAGCTTTGGAAATTAGTTCGTAAGAGAATTAATGAAAAGATTACAACTACTAATTCATTACAAAAATAAAAAGATTACAACTACTTTTAGCTTCATATTTTGTCACTGAACGTACCGTTTCACACAAGTCAATAATTGTTTTTTTTTTTTCGTAAGCTACACAGTCAATAATTGTTCCATTTTTTCTTCTCGATTTTTCAATACGAAAACGAATTATGTTGCAATTGTTTGTACGTAGACTACGCAAATGTTTCAGAGACAACGAGAAGTATCGCGACCATGCACTGACAAAGTAAAATGATAACACCGAAATAATAGAGGAACTGGACGGACTATCGGTGAGACCAAACTAGTTTGTTTCTTAAGAAAGAAACACTAAATTCATATAGTGATTGTTAGCTATTAGCTAACAATGAAAATCACGCTAAGTTCAAAAGAAAAAAAGAATGAAACTTATGTCAACTTAAAGTTTAGAACGAAAATAATTTTAATATTGGAAGAAGAAAATTTATAAAAAAAATTATTGTGTCATTTCATTTGATATTCCAGTTTATAATGTTTTACTACCTTCATTTCGCAAAAATGTTAGTTTTTCTATTTTACAGATATGTCGACAAAAAAGAAGAAGAAGATATTTTACAGATATTTAAAATTTGTAAAATATACTAATATACTTTTACTCATGTACAATCAATTAAATAAAAAATAAATTTTATAAAATTTTATTGGTTATTCGAAAAGACAAATAAAATATTAAAATGTGGAATCACATTGGAAATTATATAGTGACACTTTTTGAAACAAAAAAAAAACATAACCATAGAATGACACTCTCTATAAATTAGATAGAGTTATTTTATTGACTACCCAATTAACTAGATTTAGTTTTATAATGTTTAAATTTTATTGACTACGCAATAAACCATAACTATAAGCATTCCAATGGCTTTGTATAGCGTATTGTAAAATCCAGTTCAAAAGTAGTATAAAATAACCTATAGTTATGTTTGCAAGAAAACTAACTTAACCAAATTAGAACTGCTTTCTTTTAGATACTATAAAAATAGTACTTCACCCACAGGCAAACATATAACACTGATACTTGTTGTGTCATTCTATCATAAATCTGGATTCAGATTATATACAAGTGTGAGTTGGTGAGTTGTAAATAAGATTTGACTAGATACATGTATGCATGCAACTATTTAAATTGTCCAAGCATACTTTCAATTTGATTAATGAAGAATAAAACTCCTATTTAAATACCATCAATCAACACAGAACGAACTTTATTGCCAAGCTAATGGGGGACACATGAACAAAAAAATAAATAGAAATGCTATACTAGATGAGTGCAATGAAACCTTGTTCTTGTAGCATACTTGAGTTTATATTCAGATGGCCCATCATGCTATGCTTTCTCTTTCGCTTATACCATAGACTTCACGACAATTGAGGAAAAGACAAGCCCAACACAATTTTACTTTTAACAAAATTCATCAACTACTTCTTTTATATACAAATAAATAAAAAGGTATGTTTATGATTTTATTTAAAAAACTATAGATTAATTCTTATATCCATCTACCTTGTGTGTCCCGATAAATCTTGCCTTTTAAGTTATTTGACTACCAAATTCTTTAAGAGATGTAATAATTATGATTGACCAATTGTGTCTGTATTGTCTTAAATTAACAAAGACAACATGATGTAAAGCTTCGAGGTAGGTTAGCTTACGGACGCTCAAGCAATTGATATCGATGGATTTATGAGGATTCGGTGTTGTGACAATAGGATATTTCTGTATAGGTTTAACGTATTTTGTCAGTCAATTATATGAGAATAGGTTGCAATGTTATGTGGTAGAAGACACACACCACACTAAAAAAGTGATGAGCTAATAATATCAAAAGTTACACGCTGTTCAAGAAATTCGCCAACGCACTCCAAAACAAGTTGAAACCTATTCTGTTTCTTTAGCATGATAATAGGTTATTGGTTCAATGCAGCAAAACGAAACGAAAATAATTCTAAGGAAATGCCCAGAAAAGCATGCAAGGTTTCAACAAATCAGCCAATAGATAGGTGTGATATTTTGGACGTTCGCTATGTGTAAACGCATTTCAGATTAGCCAGATAAGTTAAGTAGATATGCTGTGGTCTGTGTGAATGCATCTTGAGATGTGGTCGGTTAGCATTAATCGAGTCAAATGTGAACGCATTATTGCTGCTTCATCTTACGGTAGTAACCATATAAGACGTTTGTTGCTTCTCAAAACAATTGTGTGATCCACACTCTACCAAATATATCTCGCCTGACTTGTGTCCTCAGTTCTCTCCTCTCACATCTCAGTCTTCTACTATACAAAAACAATAAAAATGTCTAAGACATCGTGAGGAATCTTGCCAAAAACAATCAATATAGTCTTTGACAACGATGTTAAAGGGAAAAAAAATACGTATAACGAATGAAACCAGTAGTTTGGAGAATTTGGATAATGAAATTTTAGTGTTTGCGTAAAAGAACTGAAAAGAATATATTTTTTCTTCTTTTTTGCTATATTTGGTGAAAAGTATATTCTTAAGAAATGTAAAAGATTATTTCTATTTTCTTTATGCAATGAGAGTGAGGGAGTATCGATTTAGATAAACTGAACTGACTTCCTAACTATCAAATGGTAGTTGGTGAGTTTTATTTGCACACACTACTCAAATAGTAGGAGAAATGTATATTTTCAGAATAAATCGGATTCATATAAAATTTTCTTGTGTTAAGTTCATCAATAATATTTTCGTATTATATTTACTACTCTTTCTGTTTTATAATAAGTGTTATTTCCACATTTTTCATATTACAAAAAATGTCACTTTAGAATTTCAATACAAACTAGATCTCAACCCGCGCAACCGCGCGGGTATTTGTTTTCATTTATTTTTATATACATTTTTTTTTACTTCTAAATTGGTATATATTATATAAGGTGTATATATCGAAAATGATATATTATATAAGGTGTGTATATCAAAAATGATGATTAATTATTATATAGTATAGATTAATTATTGTTAGAAAATGATATTTTGTCATTTTTAAAATAAACTATATAATTTTTAAAGTTAACATCGAAAATATATATAACTAATTAACTTATACTATTACAATATTAAATTATATAAGTTTAATTTAAACATGTATTTTATTATACTATCTATAAATTCAATGGATCATCTAATTTTTATTAGCCCATTAAAAATTTATAGTAAGCCCAATAAATGTTATTAGTGAATCTAATAAATGTTATTAATGATTAAATATATAATGTGACCAACNTATCTATAAATTCAATGGATCATCTAATTTTTATTAGCCCATTAAAAATTTATAGTAAGCCCAATAAATGTTATTAGTGAATCTAATAAATGTTATTAATGATTAAATATATAATGTGACCAACTCTAGTAGATAGTCCATTTTATAAAAAATCACACATGAATGAGAAGTCATGACTTCTCTTTTAATATAATAGATTATACTTACTTTCATCTGAAAATTAATTGAAAAATGTATTGATATCATAAATAATTTTATTTATCTCAAATACTATTGATCAGAGAAGTATAATTAATAACATCTTACATATATTCCGTCATTTTCTTAATTTGTATAGAAAATATCAAAATGACACGTATTCAGAAAATTTTATTTATTTCAAATACTATTGACCAGAGAAGTATGATTTAGCTATTACTGAAAATGTAAAATTATCATGAGATATTTACAATAATATATGAGAAACTTTAATAATGTTCACTAAATCATTTTATTATATTGTCGAAAAAAATAAATCCTATAAAGTATTAGATTTACCAAACAAGCAAAGACCGTTTTTCAAAAAAGAAAAAGAAACCAGAGAGACCACATCATGATTAAGTTTTTTACAAAAAGAAAGAAAAAAAAGATTTATAAAAAAAGGAAATATCAAAAGCAGAGAGACCTCTAGCTAAACTACTCATCATCTTCTTCGATCTATTCCCTCTTCTCTCTCTCTACTCTCTACCTCATAGATTCCATTGTCACCATCCCTTTCCAAAACCTACAATGCCGTCCCCTAGATCAGCTAATTAACACTCCCCAGAGATCTAAACCAAACCTCGAGACTCTAAGCTACACACGCCGATGGGGAACTGTTGCAGATCTCCCGCCTCCGTAGCTAGAGAAGACGTCAAATCAAACAACTCCAACCACCGTAAAGACCCTTCCACCCCCAAAAAAAAACCAACACCAATCCGAGTCCTCACCAACGTCCCCAAACAAAACATCGAAGACCGTTACATCCTCGACCGAGAGCTCGGCCGCGGCGAGTTCGGCGTCACCTACCTCTGCATCGACCGCGCGACGCGCGACCTCCTCGCCTGCAAATCGATCTCGAAGCGGAAGCTCCGGACGCCCGTGGACGTGGAGGACGTGAAGAGAGAAGTGGCGATCATGGAGCACCTCCCCGAGGACGCGAGCATCGTGACGCTCAGGGAGGCCTGCGAGGACGAGGGAGCTGTGCATTTGGTGATGGAGCTTTGTGAAGGCGGGGAGCTGTTTGATAGGATCGTGGCGAGAGGGCATTATACGGAGAGAGCTGCGGCCGGGGTGGTGAAGACGATTGTGGAGGTTGTGCAGTTGTGTCATAGGCATGGGGTGATTCATAGGGATTTGAAGCCCGAGAATTTTTTGTTTGCGAATAAGAAGGAGAATTCGCCGCTTAAGGCTATTGATTTTGGTTTGTCCATTTTCTTCAAGCCAGGTGTGTGTGTGTGGAGTCTTTTCTTTCTGGAAGTTGATTTGCGGGTCGGGTTTTTAGGTTCGAAAGGGGTCTTATAAATGTTCGGGAGGATTCGGTTGATAAAACTAAAACTTCGGGTTGGAATCTAAATCATTTCAGATTCGGGTAATTTTGGTTCAGTTATTTTAGATATCATATCAAGATAAACATAGTGTTTAGTATTTCAGGTATTTATTTAGGTTTTGGATATTTATTTTGGATTATAATTTAGATTTTTTGGGTTATAAAGGATTTTTTTGTGTGTGTGTGGTTATTTGTTCGGGTTTGGTTAGTAACACTGAACATGATTCGTATTTTTAGGGTTATTAGTTTTTTTCCTGTTTTTGGTTTATTCGTTCGAGTTTGGTTAGTAATACTGTTCATGATCCGTATTTTTAGGGTTATTAGTTTTTGTTTTTGGGTTATTCATTGGAGTTTGGTTAGTAACAATGTACATGATTCGTATTTTTAGGGTTCAGAATATGGATTTAAGTATTTTGGTCCGGTTTGGGTTCGGGTTTGGGAGGCTTTGTTTCTTGATTGATACCTTAGATGCATCCTGGCTCAGTTTAATGTTTTTATCTGATAAAGCTTACACATATTCAGGTGAGAAGTTCTCGGAGATAGTTGGGAGTCCATATTACATGGCACCTGAGGTGCTTAAGCGGAGTTATGGACCCGAAATAGATATTTGGAGTGCTGGAGTGATTCTTTATATTCTGTTATGTGGAGTTCCTCCGTTCTGGGCAGGTCTGTTCACACCTTCCTCTCTTCTTTATTATTCTCTTCTTTAGCATTTTCTTATAATACGCAGTTATGTCGTCTCAAAGAAGTTAACTATTATGTGTATTGATTCTTATAGTACTGCTAGCTAGATTTCTTTATTTCAGACAGTTTTTTTCTTTGAAACACAGAGTCGGAACAGGGAGTTGCTCAAGCTATTCTACGTGGAGTAATTGATTTTAAGAGGGAACCGTGGCCAAACATTTCGGAGACTGCTAAGAATCTTGTCAGACAAATGTTAGAGCCTGATCCAAAGCGCCGGCTTACTGCAAAGCAAGTCCTTGGTAGATAGAACCCACCTTTACCAGTCCTCTTACTCTCTGCATCTGTACTCTATATTTGCCCAATCACTTCATTTATCTGGAGATAGTCTAAAAAATTGATATTTTTTCTCGTTTTGTAGAGCACCCATGGATTCAAAACGCGAAGAAAGCTCCAAATGTTCCACTTGGAGATGTTGTGAGGTCCAGATTAAAGCAGTTTTCAGTGATGAACAGATTCAAGAGAAAAGCTTTGAGGGTTTGTTAATCATCTCCATTTGTTAATTATTTGCATGAGTGGCTTCTTAGACCAAAGTTATCTTACTTACCTTATTCCAAACTAGGTTATTGCTGAATTCTTATCTTCACAAGAAGTAGAAGACATCAAAGAGATGTTCAACAAGATGGACGCTGATAAAGATGGTATCGTTACCATCGAGGAGTTGAAAGCTGGACTTCGTGATTTTGGTACACAGCTAGCAGAATCAGAAGTTCAGATGCTTATTGAAGCGGTGTGCATATATCTCATTTTTACATCTTTTTTTTTTGCATGATCCTGTCATTAATATGGTATTTGAATTTTTATATTTATATAAAACATAGGTGGATACTAAAGGTAAAGGAACACTGGACTATGGGGAGTTTGTTGCAGTCTCTCTCCACCTGCAAAAGGTAGCAAACGATGAGCATCTCCGCAAAGCATTCTCTTACTTTGACAAAGATGGAAATGGGTATATTTTACCCGAAGAGCTTTGTGAGGCTTTAAAGGAAGATGGAGGAGATGACTGTGTGGATGTCGCCAATGATATATTCCAAGAAGTTGACACGGACAAGGTAAGTTTCAAATCTTCTATGCATGGTATGACCTCATGTTTGGAAACAGTATCTGGAAACCAAAGTTTAAAAACTCTTTTTGGGCTATTTGCATGATATCAAACAATTTGAAATTACAGACTTGCAAATAGGTAACGGAAACATGCTTTGCAAAAGTTAAAAGCATGCGAGGACAAAACATGTAGTAGCTATAGTCACTTTTTTTTTTCTGGCCTTTGTCTGTTGTGTAAGCGGTCCCCATAAACTAAAGCAAGAATGATTTCAATGTTGAGTGTGCTGGAAATGCTTTGGGCAGAGAGTTTCACTTATCATGTAGTTAGTGTAAAAGGTGTTTCTTCTGGTTATGGACTAATATGGATTACTGACACATTAGGATGGGAGAATAAGCTATGAAGAGTTTGCGGCGATGATGAAAACAGGAACGGATTGGAGAAAGGCGTCTCGTCATTACTCGAGAGGGAGATTCAATAGCCTAAGCATCAAGCTAATGAAAGACGGATCTTTGAACCTAGGCAACGAATAGCAGTAAGCCACCCCGCATTAGATTTTTGTAGAGTTTGTCTCTCACGTCACGTCCTCTCTTCACGTCACGGACTCAGAATTCAATCTTTTGTTTTTGTTGTAAATCTTTCGTTTCTTAACTTGTGTTTTTTTGGGTGATTTATGCTGTCTCTGTTCTTATTGTATTTGTTTGTGGGGCTAAGTTGTGAGTTGTTTAGTTTGTTGTGGTAGAAAGGCCAAAGACATGAGAATCAATGTTTGTTGTGTAGAAGAAAAAACAAGGACCTTTCTTGTAATGATGTTGTAATATTCTTTTGTCGGCCTTAGCCTCTTTAGTGATATGAACAAGACAATTTAAACTTTTGAATACATCATCTCAAGCATAGTATAACATCCTGGTTTGTGGTATTTGGGAAAAGACTTAAGAGAATTGATTAACATCCTGGTTTGTGGTATTTGGGAAAAGACTTAAGAGAATTGATTTGATTACCTATGTCATCAAAGTGCACTTATCTTTTTGGGAGCACATTAAAAAAAAAACTCTAGAGTTAAGTGTGGTTGAGCTGGAGTAGTGAAATGATGAGTGACCTATCGAAAAGTGATTTGCGATACCGTGTAAGTGAGGCCAAAGCACGGGGAAAGGTCATGTGGTGATTGCAGGGTTAGTAAACATGACTCTAAAGCCTTGGAAAATTAACGGACTGACCGTTGGAACGGGATGGAATTCACGGACCGAGTGAGCAGGCGTGGATGGCCTATTAGCCGTGGGCGGTCGGGGCGTTACACATAGTTTCTTAAATTATAATCCATATATGATGAGGATGACTTCAAACTTAACAGGAAAGCTACTTAGTAGGCTAGTACCTACTTTCCTTGGCTCAACTCTTAGACCATCAACATCAAGTGACTGACTACACCAGCAACCACCTATATTATAGGTCTGCAAAGCTATCAAAAGATCAATCAACGTCCACAAAAGCGATGAAGTTCAGGACCTATAATAATACAACCACCTCTATTATGTCCTGATGAGCTTTCCTTTATTGGAGACGAATCACTTGCTTTCTTTTCAAAGTTGGCAGTAACAGACTACAGCAATCATTTTTTCAACAAGATTTAAGCATCAAGATGTTAACGTTAAAAGGTTTGCAAACTACACCAATATTCTCATTATTATGTTGTTGTAAGCTGATGTGATTAATACTGGAAGAATCAGACAAATGCAACCAATATTATATGTTTTTTATGTGGATTCTGATAAAGCTATGAAAGCGATGAATTGGTTCTCTCATAGAAGTGTAAACAAATCAGGGTAAAGACTTTATTATGTTGGTTTATGGATAATGGTTCTGATTGTACCGTTGCTATGTACTTCTCTTTCATGTTCAAAAATTATTGTCTCAAAAGTAAGAAAACAGAGTTCATTTTACCAAAAAGAAAAGATGAATTAAATTTCTGAGATATTCAATATTCATGTGTCATCTACAAACCATTCAATAGTCCATGTTTTAAATATATACTAGAATTTGACCCGTGCTTGAAAAGCGCGGAAATTTTTTATGATTAAAATTTATATAATTGAGTTTTGTTTTTATTTAAAGTATGTTTTGGTATAAAATCAGCAATCCAAAAATTTGTGGTGGTAATCGTTTTGCATTAGTTTTTAGTTTCAGTTTTTATTTTTAGATTTGGTTTTAGATTTTGGTTTTTGGTTTTTAGTTTTTAAGTTTCTATTTTTGATTTTCAGCTTTTGGTTTGGGTTTTTAGTTTTTAGATCCGCTGAGTTAGTTTGAAGTGATATTACCAACAAACAAATCCCAAATAATCGAACATCTAATTTAAAACTGAAAAGATGACAACTTTTAAAAAAAAATTACAATAGTTTATTTTGTAAATAAACAAAAGAAAAAATATAACATGCGTTTTCAGCTTTTGGTTTCAAATTTTAGTTTTTAGATATGGTTTTTGGTTTTGCTTTACATTTAATTTTTAAAAAATCAGTAAATTATTTAAGAAAAAAAAAATAAACTATTTAAAAGTTACCATTGAAATTTATCAAAACAAAAGTGATTTTTATTTATAATTAAAAATACATTAACATATTTTAAAGTTCATGATTTGTGATTAATAATAGAAAATTTTGTTTGTTAAAAATATTAATTACCTTTGGGCCCGAAAATAATAATTAATTTTTGATCCATTAAGGTGTAAAATTTATTCAATGTTTTTTGGAGTTTTTCCTTAATACTAAGCCCAAAAACCAAAGTATATAGTTTGTGCTAAAAACAAAAGTAAGCCCAAGACTCTATCCCACAAATAACCGCCGGTTTAATTTAAGTAATTCGGTTTAGTCAACTATATGCTTATATTATTTGTAACACTCCAAAAATGGTCCAAATTTAAATGACAACTTAATAGAGTAGATTTTTTGCTGAGAAATTATACCGAATATCTACTGATCAATTTCCTCCTAACGCTAGTTTTATCATAAAAGTACAGGTATAGAAGAAACAAAAAAAAACAAAAAACAAAGGGAAAAAGTTTTTCAGCTACACGAAGTTTACACTAATATGGTGGAAGCCATCCAATGTATAAAAATGTGTCAAGAACTACACGAATTATATGTTAATACATGCCACATGTACGAAGTAAATGATATTATGGTGACAACATCACAATCGGATTTAACTGTTCTTAAGCTAAGTTAATGGGGTCAATCCGTAATTTATAAAGCTTAATAAACTTAATTGATTTTAATTCTTAAAGTTAATAAAATTAATAAACTTAATAAACATAATATTTTTAAAAACTTAATAAAATTAATAAACTTAATAAACTTAATATTTTTTGTTAAACTTAATAAATTTATTAAACTTAATAAAATTATTAAACTTCATAAACTTAACAAACTTAATAACTTATAAACTTAATAAGTTATTAAACTTAATATACTTAACAAACTTAATAAACTTAATTATTTATTAAGTTTAATACATCTTATTAAGTTTAATAAATCTTATTAAGTTTATAAAGTTTATTAAGTTTTTAAAAAATATTATGTTTAATAAGCTAGAATCCTAAAACTAATAAACAAAATAATTTAATAAATTTATTAAGTTTAATAATTTAATAAATTTATTAAATTATTATGTTTATTAAGTTTTCTAAGTATATTAAGTTTAATAACTTATTAAGTTATTAAGTTTGTTAAGTTTATTAAGTTTATGAAGTTTAATAATTTTATTAAGTTTAATAATTTTTTAAGTTCTTAAAAAATATTATGTTTATTAATTTTATTATTTTATTAACTTTAATAATTAAAATTAATTAATTTTGTTAAGTTTCATAAATTACGGATTGACCCCATTAACTTAACTTAAGATCAATTAAACTCGATTGTGATGTTGCCACCATAATATTATTTACTTCGTATATGTGGCATGTATTAACATATAGTTCGTGTAGTTCTTGACACATTTTTATACATTGGATGATTTTCACCATATTAGTGTAAACTTCGTGTAGTTAAAATTTTTTTTTCCAAAAACAAACCGTCATGAAGATTATATTCTATCAAAAAGGCCCATGAAAGCCCAATAGAACGCTCGAGCCCTAATATACTCGCGCCATCAGACAGAACAGAGCAGCCATTTTCTTATCATTTGTTCATGTTTTTGAAACAAAACCTTTTAAGCCTTATCTCTTTCCCTCTAAACCATGGACGACGTAGTAGACAGAGCCACTCTCACATTCCACCGCATACCTTCCCTCAACTCCTCCATACTCACCTCTCCCCCGTCCAAATCCACCACCGTAAAGTTCCCCCGCCGTGTGCTGCGGAGTTCCTCTCCCGGAGATGTCGGTCTCGGGAGTAAGTTCGCTTGCATCACCATGGCTGAGAAGTGCGAGCACAGGGAGCAGCAGTTCGCTCCGACGCCAGCTCAGCTCTTGAGCAACCCTCTTGCTATCCTTGCTCTTGTCCCCAAAGATGCTGCTATCTTTGCAGCAGGTGCTATTGCTGGAGCCGCTGCTAAAACGGTTACGGCTCCACTTGACCGTATCAAGCTTCTTATGCAGGTTTTAGTGTTATTAAAATAATGATTTGAGTAATAGTTAGGTTTTAGTTAATAGCTTTAAGTTTGTTCTTGCTTCTTACGGAACAATTTGGTTTTTTATATGCAGACACATGGTATAAGAATGGGACAACAGAGTGCAAAGAAAGCAATAGGGTTTATTGAGGTATGTTCATTAGTTTTGGCCTAATTAAAGAGTTAATTTACTATAGCTAATAAATTATTAAAATTATTTATGGTGTCCAAAGTTGTTACTTAGTCTTTTTTTATGTCCTACTAACTTATGGCAAGAGTTTATTTGTAGGCAATCACTTTGATAGGCAAAGAAGATGGGATGAAAGGTTACTGGAAAGGAAACTTGCCTCAGGTGATAAGAGTATTGCCTTACAGTGCCGTCCAGCTTTTGGCTTACGAGACTTACAAGGTGAGTCTCTGTCATCCACTACCTTATAAGCTATTTGGCTTATGTATTGAGCATATATAAAATGATGGTTGTACATCACTACAAAGTTGGGAAAAATTATACAGCTATTTGTCTTAATTAGTAAACAAGCAAGAGTCTCAAAATGATACAATATGGTATATTAAGCGATGATTCTGGTTTAAATTAAGATATATTGACCAGAGGAAGCTTGTGTCAGAGTTAATTTTGACTGCCTATTGAAGTTTTTGTTATCTGTAATTGAAACTGATAAACAGTGAGCTTTAAGCAAAAAAATATACACATTTTTAGGCTCTGTCTTGCTATTACTTTTACCATTTTACTATGATGCTTACACATTTTTGAATATCAGAAATTGTTCAAAGGCAAAGATGATCAGCTCTCAGTAATTGGAAGACTTGCAGCTGGTGCTTGTGCTGGCATGACATCTACTTTGGTGAGTTTTTGTGAATTTTACTGTTTATTGTGAATTTGTTTGGTGCCTGTTGCTGTCATGAATAAGGATAACAAATCCTTATATGATTTCTATTTAAGTACTATTTGGTTAAGAGTATGCAATGCTCCTAGCATATATATATAGATATGTTAATTAATCATTCTGATTCTTGCATCTATGCAGTTGACTTACCCACTAGATGTTTTGAGACTGAGATTGGCAGTTGAGCCTGGGTACAGAACAATGTCTCAGGTGAAATGTTTCTTCATTTTGACCATTCCTGGCTTAACCCCTTAAACTTTCTAATCCTCAATGGTCATGTTGTACTGATAAAATGCAGGTTGCTTTGGGTATGCTCCGGGAAGAAGGAATTGCATCTTTCTATTACGGCCTTGGACCTTCTCTAGTAGGAATAGCTCCATATATTGCTGTCAACTTTTGCATCTTCGATCTGTGAGTCTACTAAACTTTTCATTCCATCTGTGTCAAGTTTGAACCATATGGCTAAATTGCTAATATAACTTTGTTTTCTCCATTAACTGAGAACAGAGTGAAGAAATCTTTACCGGAGGATTATAGAGAAAAGGCACAATCGTCACTATTCACAGCTGTTCTCTCTGCTGGTGTTGCAACACTAACATGTTACCCTCTCGACACTGTGAGACGCCAAATGCAAATGAGAGGAACTCCATACAAATCTATCCCTGAAGCTTTTTCTGGTAAGTTAATCTGTTTCATCATGCAACACTCACATTAGAGCAAGATCTTCATCAGTACATGTTATATATGGGAACAGAAGACTTTATGTTTTTGAACTGAGTCAGTTCTTTTACATATGTCTGGTGCAGGAATTATAGACCGTGATGGGCTTATAGGCTTGTACCGCGGCTTTTTACCCAATGCACTGAAAACTCTACCAAACAGCAGGTTAGACTTCTTGAAACATAGAATTAGCAATTCTCAGTGCATTTATTTGGATCATATTTGGTGATAATAGTTTTGATCATTTCATCATCAATAAACGTATGATGATATCTTGGGAACCTGAACTTTACATTGCCAACAAGAACATGCCTACTAAATGTCCATTTGATGTTTATTTTTGCAGCATAAGGCTTACAACCTTTGATATGGTGAAACGCCTTATCGCCACAAGTGAGAAGCAGCTTCAGAAAATCACCGATGATAATCGGAATCGAGACCAAAATTGACAATCATTTTCTTACTGGAACATGAAAGTTTTGGAGCCTCTAGAATATATTTTTTTCGCTGAGAGCGACTAGTTTTTACATTGTATTTGGTTTTTTATTTTTCTCACTTTGTTAGTTCTTGTTTGGACCTGCTGTTATACTTCTGCTACTGGACCTGTTTTGTTGGAACAAACCTCAGAACTGTTTTGCTTTCTTAGGCAAAGGAAAAAAAAAGCACACCATTTCGATATCTATAGTTGTCAACACTCAACTCACAGATTACACAATACTTACTTCTGCTTCTGGACCTGCAGTTATGCCTTAAGACTTACCAGTCTTGCATTTCTCTAGCTGCTCTTCCTGCAGAGATTTATTAAGCGAAACTTATTCTTCAGAAACGTAAAACTAACAAGAAAAGGGTTCATGTATAAGCTCTGCGTCGTGTAGAAGCTATTAAGCTAACTAATTTCATGAACGCAAAAATCTAGAAAGCAAGTATTTTCATCACAGTATCAAAGAGGAAAATTCCACACTTCCAGCTTGAGTCATTGACTTCCATTCATGCCCTCAAGTTTTCCCAACCTTTACAAGGCAAAGGGAAGGTAAAACTATGAGGAGTTCACCATGTAAAGTACAAACTAAATACATGTAAGACTTTCAAGGAATTTGCTAAATGCTGACAGCAGAGACAGCCTTCACATTTGGATTTTCTTTCTTGAACATTTTCCTAAATTCTTCTCTGAAACAAAGAAACCAACAAGTTCAACAAGCATGCATCCAAGAATACTTACAGTATGACAAAAAAGGCACTAGCTAGGAGCTCTTTTGGGTTTATTTGGGTTCTTCTCTTTACGAGTCTCCCGCTTGCTAAAGCTTCTCAGCCGGGGCCTTCCTCTTTCCTACCTTTCTGAAAATCAAACAAACAGAACCAAAACTTTTAGTTTAATTTATTTCAGAGATCACAATCACAAGAAGCACTGCTTAAAGTAACAACCCGAGAAATCTTTACTAATGGGTTCTTAAGTTATGAAATTTCAGTTTCCAAGAAATATTTTCTCAGCTTTGATAATGAATGATATTTTTTTTGAGAAAAAGAAAGTTAACAGACTGATCTATCTATACTTCTAATAATATTCGTTGACTATTAGTTCTCTTTTTGTATGTCTTCTAGATTTGTTCATATAGCTTCACGAGTTTTTTCAATAAAAACACTAGTATCTGATTCTTTTTTATGACATTTGCTTTTGAAAATCTTCAATGAAGCTACATGAATATCTAATAAGAATATTTTTATTGAAAAAAAATTCAGGAATCTATATATATGTAAAACTCTGAAGGCATACAAAAATAAAATTAATGGTCTATGAATATTATTCAGTAGCTCAGTTTCCAAGAAATGTTTTCTCATAATGAATCGTATTCTTTGACTATTAGTTTTCTTTTTATATGTTTTTAGATTTGTTCATAGAGCTTCATAAGTTTTTGACTAGTGGAGTATATGATTTTCTTTATAAATTTTTGCTTTTGAATATGTTTTAGTGAAGCTATATGAATATCCAGTGGGAGTGTTTTCATGGGAAAAATACTCATATATCTATTTGAAAAAGTCTAGAAGACATACAAAGAGAAACGTCATAAATTATTCATTATCAAAACTGTAAAAACATTTTTCAGAAACTGACATTTTTATAGTCTTTGAACCCCTCTGAAAATATGTGATTGTAATAGCTCTGACAAATTTGTGAAAGCTTGCATTCACCATTCTTCCTCAAAGCAAAATCCAAGCAAAATTTGTAAACTTAAAAATCCACTCAATGGGAAACCACAGTAAAAAAAAGTTTGGAGATAGAATACAATGATGATGAGGTATAAGTTAAAAAGGTATGTTTGTTGCTAGTTACTTTGTAAAGAATCCTCCAATTACTCCTAAGTGCTTTTATCTGCTATAGCCGACAATTGATATGATAAGCATATGGTATATGATGGAAGCCACATGCGGGTCTAAGATGCGCAAGATTTGGGCATCTAACAACTGAAAGATATTATATTTTCAAATAGTACCAATACCAATTTTTCTTTTTCCTAGGCATAATTTATGCATATGTATGTTTAACTTGAAATCCAAGCCAAACACACAAAAATATGAATTTGATCTAAACTGGTTTCAGAGAAATATATAGATGGGGGTTAATGGTTAGATATTAAGATATCTAAATGAAATGCGAACAAATATAAAAATTTAAATTTTATTTTACTTTACTTTGTGTAGTTTGGCTATTCAAGAGTACTTATAAGCTTTTGATTAATTTTTTGGTTAATTTATATATTCTAATTCATTTTGGATATTTATAAGTAAGTTTATCAGATTTTGAGTAATTATTATTTTAAATATTTTATGTGTTTTCTGAATTTTTGGTTGATTTAGATATTAGGTCAAGTTCGATCCAAACATATTTGAAAATAAAAAAAATCGAACCTAATCCAAAATAGTATATATCTTAATAAACCAGCGGAGCTTAGTATATCGTACGTGGAATTCCATCTAGTGTCAACATCCAAAGATAAACCAACAGAGCTTAGTATCCCAGCGCTCTCCACACATGCGGCAAAAGAATCTTTCCGCGAATCAAAAGCGGTAACGTATTTCACACTCTCTCTAATATTTCACAAGGAGACTAGAACCTAATACTAACTCTTTCTTGACAATCAAGTTCAGTATATAGACGCAACACCTTACATGGATATATTTTCCATCACACAACAGCCCGTTCTCACTCTGCAAAAAATGGGTCAAGACTTGTTGCATGTTGTCATTCGCAGAGGCATTATCTAAAGTGATTGTGAACACTCGTTGCTCTAAGCCCCAATCCTTTAAGATGTCAAAAATCTTCTTGGCTATTGTTTCACTGGTATGTGGGGGTTTGATATCGCAATACGCCAATATGTGACTGTACAACCTCCAGTTCTCATCAATATAGTGAGCAGTCACACAGATGTAACCTCTCATTTGGTTACGAACCGTCCATAAATCAGAAGTGAGTCTCACTCGCCCTTGGGGACTTACAAACATTTCTTTCAACTTCAGCTTTTCTACTAGATATCTTTTATATACATCACTACTCGCAGTTTGTCTACTGGCTCGCAGTCGGATTAAGATATTTATTTCTTTCCCTAACCTTTTTGTACTCTACGTACCTAAAAGGAAGGTCATGATAAATTATCATCTCATAAACCATATTTCTATCCACTTTGTGATCATATGGTTGCCTATCTTTGGTATCAGGTTTGTCTGGACAATTGCGAGTATGGCGTATCAAACCCTAGAGTCTAGAGATCGATTTCAACAAACCTCACAGAGTGCTTACTGAAGATGTGATCTGAGATCTTTGCGACGAAACTCACCGAAGATGGATACACGATCACCGAAGAAAATGATCTGGCTTTCTTTTCTTCACCGACAAAGCAAAAGAGATTTCAGATCTTGTCGTTTATGAATAGAAGGGAAAGAGATGAAAACGACCAGTTTGGTAAATAAAAAAATAATGGGCTCAGGAGTTAGTCTGAATATTATTTTGGTCAGTCCTTTTCTAACCCGTGCAAACAATAACGGGTTTAGGACTTAAAAAACATGCTGGCTGGACCAATCCTATTGACAAAGGCCCATATTAACAACCTTATGAATATGATACCAAAAATTATAAACCCAATAAAGAAAAATCTGATCCGGAGCAAACTTCCGCCTACAACTCAAACCATAATAGTCTGTCAGTTTTGATGAATTGGTATCATTTTTAGGTGATTTTTATTGCAGGCTATGGAATATTTAGAAAAAAAATAGTTGTTCAATAATAGTTAATAAAATTTGGGGTCGTAGATTAGGTCCCTATTTGACTAAACCTTAGCTGAAATCGAACCAAGCCGATCACTCCACAAACCTACACAGCTGTAATACAATAAATATTGGTGAGTGAACGAACCATTCTTCTTTTGGGCAGGACCAAGATGTACACATATTTTGGGCCGTCTGTTTTATTAGAATAGATACATCCAAATTGAAAACTGTGTGAAACCAACAAGGCTAAGACCAGAGAAACATAGCCAAAAAAAACAAAATTCGAGACTGACACACATGACGTAGCTAACAAATAACACACGTTTTACACAAACAAAGAAGTTAACTTGTCACACAAAAACAAACTACACCGTTTGACTCACGGTTCAACTTCAGATGTTGGTGGTGGCACTTTAGGCTTCATATGAGAAGGTGGATTGTGCTTGAGTCTCGTGATCACTTGCCGCATACGAGACAAATCAGTGGGCTTCCCTGGTTTTGGCCCCTGTATCACTGTTACAGAAGAAGCTTCCTTCTTCTTCTTCCCTTTCTTCTCTAAGACCGGTACTTCACGAGGAATGAGTTCCGCAATAGCCTTCCAGCTGTTTTTGTCTGCTTCAGCATAAAACTTTTCTTGGCTTTCCAAATACAACTGGCAATTAAAAAAATTAAAAGGTCATGAGAATTCATCACAAAGACTAAACACAAATCTTGAATGCTTAGAACACAAGTTACAAAGAGACAAAATCACCTTCTCTTTCTCGCGGTTCGATTTCTTGTTAGATTCAATAGTAATGCTACGCTTGCTATTGAACTCGGCCTTGTATTGCTCTGCTGTTTCTATAATCTGTTGAACCATTTCTTTCTCCTTCTTCTCCTTTTCTTCCAACCTCAGAGCATTTAGCCTTGATGAAACACACACAAAACACACTTTTCAATATAAGCAAAACTAATTAGACATTCATATACCGACAAATAACAATTAGACATTCATAATCATAGATTATGGCGAAGAGGTAAATGTAATCATATCAACCACAGTTAGTAACAGAGTCATTCACATGGATTTTTTTTTTTTTTTTGTGAAACAGTCATTCACATGGACTATACTTTAATTTTAGCTTACTTTCTGTTTGAGGGAGATAACTTGTTGTACAAACTACAAGACTCCATGTAATTATGGTTAGGTCAACGTTTGGAGTTGACTTAGTCAATGGATATTAAACAGCCGCTAAATTAGGGTTCTGAGAGCAGAGATTAATCTACAGCAGGATTTTAAGAGCAAAGATTAATCTGAATTAGGATTTTAAGAGCAGAGATTAATCTAAATTAGGGTTTTAAGAGCAAAGATTAACCCAAAAATGAGGGTTTTAAGAGCAAAGATTACTTTCATGATGAAGTAAGTAAAGGATCAAAAAGCTGCATGCACAAAGAAAGCGTGTACCTTCGCCACTCCCTGAGAGCAAAACCTTCCTCTTTCTCCATGACCGATGGAGGAGGCAAGATGGGACCGTTAGTATCATCAGAACCGTTTTTCAACGGCAGAGATTGAGTTTCCGGTAATTCCATCTTCTGCGACGAGATATCTTCTTGGTTGGAGTAAGGAGATGAATCGTCACCGCCTTGTAAGTCTTTCTCGAAGCTGGAGAAGGACGAGTCAAACCTCTGCGATTGGAATCGAGACTCGTACGCCGTGTAGTTTCCTCCGTCGCCTCCATCTACTTCCGGCGAAGGGTTTGACTCACCGTGTTGTGAACCGTCGTTGCTCAAAGATGACGACATGGCTTCTGTTTTTTTTTTTTCCTTTCTTTCTCGAAAAGTCTTCTTTGCTCTGTTTTGTGGGTTCACACTTGTTGTCGTAAAGACGAAGTACTTCTTAGAACATTTACGTGGTGCTTTACTATTGGTTGAAAAGTAAAGACCACGGGAAGTAATGAAAATGATACATCGTAAGTATCGTGGATCTGACTCTATCTGATTATTTATACGTGGCTTGTTATGTATGGTGAAAAGTAGTATTCATATGGTGGACCTTGATGTACGAGATTATTACGTCAGATTTCTTGATCGGCTTTATATGGTGGGCTTTTAGGACACACAGGGGGGTGTATTGGACTGAGCATTTTAGAGAGTTGTGGAGTGTTTTAATTTTCGTGGAATTTAAGTTAGGTAACTAGATTTTGATCCGCGCAACTGCGCGGATGTTTGTTTTCATTTATAGTTAGTTATATAAACATTTTGTTTTCACTTGTAGATTGGTATATATTATAGTAATCACATATTTACGATATGTATAGTAAATATTTTTCAAAAATAATAATATTATATAATACGTGTTTTAATCAAATAGATTGTTTCAAATTTTCTATATTACAAAAACATCTGTTTGTTTCTTCTTCTATATTTTATTGTTTGTTAGATTAATATTTCATTTTTTGATAAAGTTATATAAATAGAACTTGATTAAATATTAGTATACTTTAATTTGCAAAGATAGTATAAATTTCGAAGAAATGTTTTCTAAAAACTAAACTTATAGCTTCATAAATTAATATTATAAAGAATTTTACTAAACAAAGAATTTTTTAAACAATTTCTTTTTTTTTACAATAATACAATTTTAAAAATTTACATCGAAATAAATTTATCTAGTATATATAGCGTATAAATTTTGTTAGGGTATATAAATATTCCATATTTCGAATCTGTGATTTTTGTTAATATATTGTGGATGCATTTAACTATTATTGACATATTTCCATATAAATAATAGAAAATTCCTAAACTTATATCTATTGACATATTTGCGTGACAAAATTGGAAAGTGTGGGGTAGTTTACCAAAACCAAATTGTTAAGCGTATCTTTATTATTATAGATATGATTTTTCATAAGATATAATAATGATAAGATTATTAGAGAGTTAATGTAACATGAGTTTCTAGTAATAGTCCATTTTTTAGAAAATCACACACATGAAGTCAAGTTATGACTTCTGTTTTAATATATAAGATGTTTAAAATAAAAATAAAATCTATAGGTGATTTGATAAAAGATTTTCTACAAAATTTCAGAGTTATTTAGGTGATTTACTTACGGGTCTTTCAATCATTTCATTGATATTTGCCACACATGTCCTGTAATCAAAGTCATTACTCTTAAATATCACATGACTATTGCAACATATTTAGTTACTGCAAAAGTATTAAGTCTAAATGTCCCAAAGACTCTAGACAAGCCAGAGACTTCAACATGTTGTAATGGGTCGAGCTTACAGAAGAGTAAAGATGGTGTGAGGCCCAACAACTCTGGAAAGCTAGCCGTTGAGTTACCTCATGCTTATCTCAGTCAAAGGATCAACTTCCCCTCTTGTCGTGATACTCGTACGAAGATGCCAGCACATGACACCTTTACCTTTAACAGATTTGGTTGTTTGGAAGCTTGTGGTGTCATGTGCTAACGTGANAAGATGCCAGCACATGACACCTTTACCTTTAACAGATTTGGTTGTTTGGAAGCTTGTGGTGTCATGTGCTAACGTGAGCATTAGGTCTAAAGTTGTATCTTGTATATAAGTTAACTCGAGTCATTGTAATGTTCCTCAAGTTGAATGAAAAGTATTCAGTAAAAGCTTTCATCTCCTTCACGTAATCCTCTGATTCACATGGTATCAGAGCACCATGGACGAATCTCTGGACTCTGTTTCTGCTCCAACGTTGAGCATTTCTCAGTGTGTTACTTTAAAACTCTCTTCCACCAACTATTTGTTGTGGAAAACTCAATTTGAGTCTTTTCTTTCTAGTCAATCTCTTCTTGGTTATGTTAATGGATCAACTCCTCGTCTTCCTCCCACTGTGTCGGTTAGAGAAGGTGATACTGTTACAGAACAGGCGAATCCTGAGTTCACAAAATGGATACGCAAGGACCAGCTTGTTATGGCGTGGCTGTTTGGCTCTCTCACTGAAGAAGCCCTTCGTTCTGTGTATGGTTTACACTCCGCTCAAGATGTTTGGTTCAGTCTGGGGAAGAAGTACAACCGTGTGTCTGCTACTCGCAAGCTTGATCTCCAGAGGAAGCTGCAGAGTGTGAAGAAAAATCAAAAGAAGATGACAGAGTATCTCGGTGAAGTGAAAAGTGTTTGTGACCAACTTGATTCAATCGGCTTTCCTGTCACAGACCATGAGATGATTTATGCAGCCTTAAACGGTCTGGGGAAAGAGTTTGAGTCAATATGCACTGTCATAGAACATTCTATGGACTCTGCACCTGAGCTGACATATGAAGATGCCGCTTTCAAACTTGTTAACTTTGATGACAAGTTACAGGCGAGTACTCCAACTGCTGACGTCTCACCTCATCTTGCGTTTAATACTCAACGTGGCTACTCCAACCGTGGTCGTGGAAACTTCGGTAACAGAGGTCATCGTGGAAGAGGTGGAGGCAACTCAGGGTCGTACTCTACTCGTGGAAGAGGGTTCTCGCAGCAGTTCTCTGGATCTAACTCCTCTGGTCGTCCAACCTGTCAAATCTGTGGTAGGTATGGACATTCTGCAGCCAAATGCTACAATCGTTTTGATCAAAACTATCAGTCTCCTGATGCTGTGCACAATGCTTTAACGACTGGTAAAGTGTCTGATCAACAACCACATGGCGGTGAGGAGTGGTATCCGGACTCTGCTGCCTCTGCTCACATCACCAACAGCTCAACCCAACTTCAGTCTTCTGATCCATACTTAGGTAATGACCAAGTGATTGTTGGAAACGGTGATTATCTTCCCATAACTCATGTTGGATCAGTGGTTTTGCAAGGTATATTACCTTTGAATGATGTGCTTGTTTGTCCTGATATAACTAAGTCTTTGTTGTCTATCTCCAAGCTCACATCTGATTACCCTTGTGAAGTTACCTTTGATTCTGACTCTGTGTTTGTTAAGGACAAGGTGACCAAGCGGTTGATCACTCAAGGAAAACGTCATAAGGATCTGTATATGCTGAAGAACAACCAGTTTCAGGCTTTCTACTCACATAGACAGCAAGCGACGAGTGAAGGGACTTGGCATCTGCGGCTTGGCCATCCCAACATGGAAGTTCTTCAGCTCCTTTCAAGAACCAAAGCCATAGTTTTCAATAAAGCAAGCACTCAGCCTCTCTGTGATGCTTGTCAAGTAGGAAAAAGTTGTCAACTTCCGTTTTTGTCTTCTGATTTTGTTGCAAATCATCCTCTTGAGAGAATTCATTGTGATTTGTGGGGACCCAGTCCAGTTGTATCTGCTCAAGGATTTAAATACTATGTGATCTTTATTGACAATTTCTCAAGATTTACATGGTTTTATCCTCTCAAACTCAAGTCAGACTTTCTCCCTGTGTTTCTGCGGTTTCAACAACTAGTTCAGACACAATTTCAGAGTAAAATACAACAGTTTCAGTGTGACGGAGGTGGTGAGTTTGTTAGTCAAGGTTTCCTCACCCATCTGGCTCAATCTGGTATACAACAGTACATCTCTTGTCCTCACACTCCACAGCAAAATGGTCTTTCAGAGAGGAAGCACAGACACATTGTTGAGTTGGGACTTGCAATGATGTTTCATGGAAAGATTCCTCAACAGTTATGGGTTGAAGCATTCTTTACGTCTGTGTTTCTGATCAATCTTCTACCATCCAAGCGGTTTCAAGACAACAAATGTCCGTATGAGTTACTTCATAAAAGACCTCCTTTGTATACTGCTCTGCGTGTGTTTGGATGTAAGTGCTTCCCCAACCTACGTCCTTACATGCAAAACAAGTTGGATCCCAGATCATTAGCCTGTGTATTCCTTGGCTACAATGAGAAGTACAAAGGCTATAGGTGTCTCTACCCACCCACAGGAAGAGTTTTTATCAGTACACATGTTTTATTTGATGAAAACTCTTTCCCATTTGCTGATATCTATAGCACATTTCACAAGTCTACTTCTTCTCCTCTGCTCAATGCTTGGCGATCAGCAAATGTTCAGTCTCCTCCCTCATTATCCAGTGAGTCATCTCCTGCTTCTGATGAGTTACCTGCTCGATGTATAAAAGTGGGATCACCAGCCCTGGCTCCACTCATTCCTGAACCAGCTTCTCCTGTTGTTCCTAATTCTCCTCAATCCGATGATGTGGTTGACAATGCAGCAGACTACCATCAAGAAGCTGTTGTCGAACAACAAGTTCAACCAAGTCATCAGATGACTACTCGTGCTAAGGCAGGAATCATTAAGCCAAATCCCAAATATGCTTTGTTTACTGTCAAAGATGAGGATGCCGAACCAAAGTCAGTCAAAGCAGCTTTAAAACACTCAGGATGGACTGCTGCCATGGGAGTTGAGATAGCCAATATGAAAGAAACTCAGACATTTGAGTTAGTTCCTCCGAGTGAAGATCAGAATCCTCTCAACTCTGGCTGGATTTACAAGAAGAAGTTGAATGCTGATGGTACAGTTTTGAAACTCTGAGCTCGTTTAGTTGCAAGAGGTAATGAGCAAGAGGAAGGTATTGATTATCTAGAAACCTTCAGCCCTGTTGTTCGTACTGCAACCATCAGAACGGTTTTGCACATTGCGGTTACTAAGAAGTGGCCTCTGAGACAGCTTGATGTGCAAAACGCTTTTCTCCATGGAGACTTAAAAGAGACGGTTTACATGACACAGCCTCAGGGATTTGTTGATGTTGATAAACCAGAGTATGTGTGGAAACTCAAAAAGGCAATCTACGGTCTTAAGCAAGCTCCCAGAGTTTGGTTTGACAAGTTCAGTGCGTTTCTGCTGCAGTTTGGGTTTCAATGTAGCTTCCCAAACCCTTCTCTGTTTATCTACCACCGTGGTTATGATG